GGGGGGGGGGCAGGACTGATGCTTGGGACTTGTGCCCCCTTTTCTCTCTCTGCAGCTCCCAGGCTCTGAGCAGCAGTTAGGAAACCGGCTGATCTGAAGTTTCCCCCAGACCCGGGTCCTCCCCAGACTGACTAGGTTTATGCCCAGCTCCTGGGATCCTGGCTGCTCATGACAACGACCCCTCAGAACCACTAGAATGCCTGGGTGCCCTACAGGCGTCCCACCATGGCTCTCTGGGGCTGCCTGCTGGGGCTGGAAGGGAAGGCCCAGCCCAAACTCCATCCTGGCTGGGCTGCAGAAACCCAACTCACCCTCCAGTCTGTCTCCTGCCAAACCGCATGGAGAGTGCCCTGCACACGCCAGTGGTGTGTTCCCCTGCTGGGGACATCCCCCACTGCCCACAACTGCCCGAGGCCAGCAGTCAGGGTGCAGTCAGTCCTCCAACAGCATGCTCCCAGCATCAGGAAGCAGGGTCAGATAGGGTGACTTGCTGTGTGGCTCTGGCAAATCTTCCCTGGCTCTGAGTTTCAGGAGGGCACCAGTGCAAAGATTTTCCAGACTTCTCAGATAAGAATTTGTTAAAAACAAATTCCCAGGCCCCATGTCAGACCCACTGAATCAGCATCTCCAGGACACGGGACTGGAAGCTGTGTTTTTATCAAGAGGCTCAGGGGACTGTGATCATCAGGGAAGTTAGGAAATTCCCCACTGGGAGCGAACCTGGCCCAACAGCAGCAGTACCTGGAGAGCTCTGAAAAACTGCAGCCTCCCAGGACCCAGCCCAGAGGTTCTGATTCCATAGAGCCAGGGCTCTGAGGCCCCACAATCTGTATTTTCTGTATTTTTCTAACCCTTCCAGGGATTCTGATGGAACCATTTCAGGGGCTGGCATTTGGAAGCCACCAGGCTGGATAATTTAAGGAGACTTATTGCTCTGACATCCTAATAAGGGCATTTGGGATTGTAACTCCACAACCACAGCCTGCAGACTGCTTTTTTGTTTGTCAGTTTATTGATTTTTTTTTTTTTTTGGTTTGTTTTGGCTGGCACAAATATTGGAAAATATTTAATCAGTTGCCGATGTTTAAAAATCACATGATCTTGTACAAAAATCTCAATTTTCAGCTTTCCTTGAAAAGTCTTATCATCCATCCACGTCAGGCCTAAATTCCCACTTGTCAGAAGTGGCCCTTTAGAGAGTGCCTGTGCTCCCCCATCTACCTCAGTCTCCACCACTCCCTATCGTGTTCCCAATGCCGTAGCTAAATGTAGGCAGCCCTCTGGCTTCATGCTTGTGTTGTCTTTCATTCAGTAAAGAACTGAATCTCTAACAAAAATGAGAAAACAAGAGATGGACCAAGAAGCCCCATGTTTCAAGAAAAATGTCTCCCCACCAGCCTTGTTTGTTCATTTATGTTACCTTCCTGGTCCGTGGCTTTGGGGTTCTAAGGGAGTGTTAGGTGCCCCAAAGTTGAGAACAATGTATAAGATACCATTCTTGCCTTCAAAATAGAGAAATGGGTACAGGGCACTCCTAATCCTCACCCCTGGCACAGTGCTGAGAAGGTCCATCCCACAGATGGACTGCGATGAAGAGAAGCTTCGTCAAAGGGGGCACATGAGAGATGTCCCTTGACAGATGGGTACCTACTTAACCATGAAGATGGGGAGGGCATCTTGGTGGTAGACACCGTGTGGCAGACCCCAGAGAAGTAGAAAAAAGCTAGGAGTAACGGGAACAAGCAGCAAGAAGTTAATCTTGGCTTAGGCATGTGTTCTGTGAAATGATACAACGGAGTGACAAAATAACACCGTCAAACGTATGGGCTTTGAATATGGAAAGACCTGGGTTCGGGTCATGACTCAGCCACTTAATAGTTGCATGGCCTGGACAGTCATTTCATCTTGCTGAGCCTTGGTTTCCTCACCTGCTCAGAGAATCCAGATCAGAAAATACAAGGAGGGGAACAGCACAAAGTGACGGAGAAGGAGACATCAGCTACACTCCAAGGCTTTGTTATTTTAAATGAGTATTACCGGCTGCTAATGACGACCTGAAGGTAAGCAGGCTGAAGGTAAGGGGGCGCGGATGCCAGCCAGCCCTGCAGCGCTCAGTGAACTGGAGGAACAGGAGCTACATAACACACTTCCAGGCAACAGCAGCGTCTTCAGTGCATGTGGGTGGGAGAGGGAGGTACGTATGGGACTAGGGAATCTGAACCACTGGGGAGAAATGGCCCCAGGAGCTCAAAAGAGTGTCTGTGGGGAGGGATCCATGTCCCCGGGGATGTGCAGCCCCGCTGAGAATCCCTGCTCTAGACCTGGGCAAACATTGCAAGACAGAAATTCAAGGTGAGTTATAAAGAAGCAGCCTGTTAAGTTCAAAAATGTGATAGGGCTAAGTAGAGATATACTGCAGGTAAAAGGCATTAGGATTAGTGCGCTCTAGAGCCAGCCAGCCTGGGTTTGAATCTCAGCTCTGCCACCCACAGCTGTTAGACCATGAGTAAATTACTCAACCGCTCGGCATCTCACTTTCTCCATCTGTAAAATGGGTATGATAATAACCATACCTACTCCCTTAGGTTGTATGAGAATTAATGAGTTAGTAGGTCAGTGTTTAGACCAGTAGATGGTACATAGCAAATGTGAGCTAAGTTATTATTAAAAATTAGCAAGAGAAGTTCTAAAATATACTTAGCTATTTCTTTAAAAACTCGTTTTAGGGGCCGGCCCAGTGGCGTAGTGGTTGAGTTCCCCCGCTCCCCTTTGGCGGCCCAGGGTTCGCAGGTTCAGATCCCAGGCACGGACCTATGCACTGCTTATCAAGCCATGCTGTGGCAAGCGTCCCACATATAAAATAGAGGAAGATGGGCACATATAAAATAGAGGAACCAGGGCCAGTATTCCTCAGCAAAAAGAGGAGGATAGGCAATGGATGTTAGCTCAGGGCTAATTTTCCCGACAAAAAAAGAAAACTTGTGGGGCCAGCCCTGTGGCGTACCAGTTAAGTGCGTGCACTCTGCTGCTGGCGGCCCAGGTTCGGATCCCAGGTGTGCACCGAGGCACCGCTTGTCAGGCGACGCTGTGGCGGCGTCCCATATAAAGTGGAGGAAGATAGGCACAGATGTTAGCCCAGGGCCAGTCTTCCGCAGCAAAAAAAAAAGAGGAGGATTGGCATGGATGTTAGCTCAGGGCTGATCTTCCTCACACACAAAAAAGAAACTTGTTATATCTCTTTGCCTAATGGCTTAATAAAATATGTTCTGTTTAGTCAAAAAGGAAAAAATAAAAATTTACAGGATGTTACTACTTTTACTGCAATAATTTTTATTTTCTTGTTTTGCTCTGCATTAATGTTTTTTAAATCAACTTGTATTGTTTTGCCATTAAAATATTTTTAAAGAGGGGCAGAGTGAGTTAAAAAGTAAACAACTCGTTCAATGTCTCCTATGGCCGACCCCTGGTAGAGACCCTGGTGGCTGAAACTACCACCCAGTGCCAGCAAGGGGTAACTGCAGGTTCCAGTCAGCTGAACAGCATGTGGGTGCATCAGAGCTGAGCGAGCAGAGCAAAAGCTGCAGAGGGATAGGAGCAGGGGCCACTCAGCGGGACTGCCAGTGGTTCATGGCCAAGTCTTCTCTGCCAGGTCAGGAGGTCTGTTCCGACTGGACTGAGCTCCTGTCACCCTGGGTGCTAAATACTTGGAATATCATCCCTAGGTGACAGAACTGTTACTTTGGAGCTTCTACCAGAGAAATGCCAACATGCAATTTGCCCTCACCTCCCTATCAAGAACCTGAGTTACAGTCCAGCCCTTCAAACAACCTCACCTGAAGCTCATGCCAAAGAGAAAAACAAAAACCAGGGGGTGTGTGTGTCTGTGTGTGACACACGCCCTCCTCCTTGAGTCCTCTGCACGTGCCTGGTATGCACATATGTGCACGCACAGGTATGACACAGCGTTTTGGTGGGGACATGACAGGGCCCCAGCCCCAGCAACCCCAACGAGTCCCTTGGTTTGTCACAGGAGGAGAAAAAGTCAGGATACCTTTACCTAAAAGTGAGCCCAAGATGTGCCCTTTGGTGTCAAAGAAAGTAGCATTCGGTGGGCAGAACCCAAGGTCTAGGGATCCTGGGCAGCTCCAAAAACCATGACAGAGAGCTCAAGCCACCTCAGGATCAGGGATCCCATGTGGGAGCAGGATGGGGAGGGCCCCATGCTACATATCTATGGGGATACCAAAGACAGACACTCCACCCTGAAGGGGGGGCCCAGACTACATGGGGGAGGGCACTTGCCCTGCCTCCACCCCCAAATGGCAAATCCAAGTTACAGGACCCACCAAGGACTCCCTAATCTTACTAGGTCTGCCTGGCAGATTAATAAAAATAATGGCCACCACATGGTAGTCACTCTGCTCTGTGCTAAGCAACTGACATTCAGCACCTCACTTAATCCTGACAAGAACCCTACAGGATAGACACCATTATCCCCATTTAACAAATGGGCAAACTACAGCCATGGAGGGGCGGGAGGTTGGCCAAGCTCATACCTGGGTCTGGCCTGCAGTGGAAGTAGACAGGGCCCTGACCACAGGGGACTCTCCCTCCACCCCCATTCCTCCCACAGCTGCCAGGGGACCTGGACCCAAGTTCAGGCTCAGGGGCAGTTCCGAGGCAACCACCTTCCTGCTCCCTCATCCCCATCACCTGGTTCATCCTCAGGTTCCCCAGCTCTGGGCAGCGGGAAAACACAGGATTCATGTAGGCAGCTGAGAGTCCTACCTAACTGGTCACTCTCCTCTCTGAGCGTGTTCTCTCATCCATAAAAGAACACTCCATCACCTGCTGTGCTGGGTTGCTGTGGAGCTGATGAGAAACAAGAACTGGGGAGGCTGACACATCTTAGGTGCTCACAAAATGCTTGCTCGCTCTCCACTCCCTACACATGGCTGCTAGACCGAACCTCTCTAAAACACTGCTTTCAACAGCTACTCCCCTCAACGGCTCCCCAAACCTCTAAAATCTGGTTTAACCGTCCGCTACACTCCCGCCCAGACACTTTTGTAGTCTCACAACCATAATCTCTCTACTGGGGAGGCAAGTCTCCCCGATCTCCCCCACGCAGGCCTCAGCCAGACCCCGGTGGGGACGCTCCCACCCCCTCCACACCCTTCCAGCTATCCAAAGTTCATCCATCCTTCCAGTCCCTCCAAGCTCAGAGCCCTCCTCTCCTACAAAGCCTTCCCGACCGCCTCGCCTGCTCGGGTCTCCTCACTATCCAACCGGCCCTAATAGACCACGAGCTCCCTGAGCGCCGGGCCAGGGGTCCCCTACACCCTCGGCTCCTAAATTCCCAGGCCGGTTGCTCCGGATGCGCCAGGAGCGCCGCGGCCGGGCCGGCGCGGCCGAGCAACACTCTGGACGCGGGCCAGAGGCTCGTCGGAGGCCGGGCGGGCGGGGCAGAGCCAAGCCCAGGGCCGGCGAAAGAAGCTCCTGCTCCCCGCTCCACTCCCGGCGCCTTCACACTTGGGGGAGGGGGAGGCAGGAAGCGCAAGGGCCGCGCGAGACCCGGCCACCCGGCCCCCAGCGTCGCCGAGGGCCGAGCGGGCCGCCCAGAGGCGGTGGGCGGGAGCCGGGGGCGCGGCGAGGGACCGCGCAGACCTGCGACCCGGCGCCCTCGCCCGCGGCGTCCTGGCCAGCCTGCTTTCCAGACGAGGCACACTGCGGAGGGCGAGAAACCGTGTAAGCCGCGCTCCGCGCAGCCCCTCGGACCGGGGATACCCGTGAGAGGCGCGCTGCTGCGCCCGGGGTGGGGAGCCCCAAGAGCGGAAGGGGCTTATTCCAGGCTACAGGCAGGCTCGATAGCGGAGTCGGCGGCTGGAGAAAGCTCCGCGGGGGCGCGGTTTCGCTCCCCCGACCCCATCCTCGTCCCTATCACCAGGGCAGCGGGGGCCGCGACAGCTGCAGGCAGAGCCGGGCGGACGCGGGGTCTACAGAGGTGAGAAGGGGCTAACCCGAGGCTGGGGTAGCGGGGAGGGACGGCAGGGCCGGCCGGCCGCAGAGGGGCGGCCACCCACCTGGTGCGGATCCGAGGGCGCTGGGCGCCGGAACGCAGAGGAGCAGGAGGAGGGGGCGCAGCAGCTGTGCGGGGCTGCGGGGACTCGGGCCGCCGGGCATGGCCGGAGCCAGGCGGCCGCCGGGCGACCCCGCGTGCACGCTCTCGTCCGTCCCGTCCGCTCGCTGCCCCGTCCCGGGTCCGGCTCAGGACATGCCCGGCCCGCGTGCAACTCCCAGCGTCCCGGCCCGGACTCCGGCCCGGCAGGCGGCTGTGCTCGGTCCGCGGGCAACAAAGGCTGCAGGGCCCGCCCCCTCGGCTGGCTGCGGAGGCAAAGAAAAGACGAGAGAGTGAGAAGAAGAGAAAGAAAGAAAGGGAGGGAGGGAGGGAGGGAGCGCGCCTGCCGGCCCCTGCCCCGCCCCCCGGGCTCCTTCCCCCGCCCCCGGGCCGGCCCTCCAGCCCCGGCCCGGCCTCGCCCCGCCCTCGCCGGCCTCTCGGGCCGGGGCCGGTCACCCACCGCTCGTGGGACGGGGTCCGGGGCAGGGAGCGGGTTGCGCCCCTGGGACGGACGCCAGGCCGCCCACCGGGCCGACGGTGCCCTCTGGCGGTAGAGCCGAGCCGGGCCCTCCCGATTTGGGCCTTCCAAGACCCCCCAAAGAATCTGGAATTTCCGGAATTTCTGCCTTGTCCCTGAACTGTGCTCAAGGAGGCGCCCTTCCGTGTGCTCCCAGGGCCAGGCAGGCCTGCCCTTCTTAGGAAAAGGGACACAGAGGCCTCCCAGGGCCACCACAGAGGGTCCAGGGTCTCGCAGCAGGGAGCAGGGGTTCCGGGGGTCCCAAGGCAGATTCTGTTCCAAAGACAGCTGGGGAGAGAGGCCTGGCCCCTCCCAGAGTGGGCAGCCATTCCCACGCAAGGCGGAGTCCCGCAATTCCTTGTCTCCGAGTGTCTGTTTGCGTGGAGTGAAGCACAGGGTTCGGCCCACTGGCCGGCGCCCACAGACGCTCAGCCGGGCCTCCCTGGGAGCTCGGAGGCCAGCCAACCCCAGCCTCTCATCCTCCGCCTCAAACACCGGCCATCTGTGCTTCCGTGGCTCCAGCCCTGATTCTGGCTTCCTGCTCCCTTCCCCGTCTGCTTCCAGGAGCCCCCTCCGAGGAACACTCCCACCCTCCACCTCTTGCCTTCACTAAACCTGGCCCTGCCCGGAGGACCCCTGCCACTTGTTCCTCAGGATGCTTGTAGTCAGCTTCCTTTCTTGGCCAGCCTTTGAGTAGCCCCTGCCCTCTGCGGTCCACAGACCTCCTCATTGTCCAGTCTCCCATGCACTTTCCCTCATTCTGGAAGCTTCCTTCTGGCTCCTTCTCCACCTCAAGCCCTGCTATCCTCCTGGGGTACCCATGCAGCACAGGGCTACTCAGATCCTTGACATCCTCATCTCCAATGACCTTTCTCTCCACATCAGCCACCAGCTCTCATGGCCACAGCCTAGGCTGTGTCAACCCCAGCTGCCCCTCTCTGAAATCTGAAAATCAGATGCCCCACTCTCAGACCGGCCCCTGCTGTCTTTCCCACCCTCCCCAGACCTTCACCATCACACTGCAGTAGTCCCCGGTTATCCATGGGGATACATTCCAAGACCCCCAGTGGACGCCTGAAACCTACTGTTTTTTCCTATGCATACATACCTATGATAAAGTTTAATTTATAAATTAGGCACAGTAAGAGATTAACAACAATAACTAATAATAAAATAGAACAATTATAACAATATACTGTGATAAAAGTTGCCGTAGATTTTAGGAAACTCAGCATACGACTTTTTTTCTTTCCTATTAAGTTGAGAGCTTTCACCTT